AGAGTCAATGATTTTTCCATCTAAAATACCTTCAATCATATAAAAGATGGACATTTTAAAATTAACAAAGTCCTAAAAAGAATCTATGTATAAAGCTGTCTCTTATACACATCTAGATGTGTATAAGAGACAGTTGGGAGGCTGAGGCAGGAGAATTGCTTGAACCCGGGAGTTGGAGGTTGCAGTGAGCCAAGATTGCGTCACTGCACTCCAGCCTAGGTGACAAGAGCAAGGCTCCATCTCAAAACAAACAAACAAACAAAAAAACCCATCTATTACAAAGGAGTTTCTTATCTTCCCAAAGCTCAAATAATCATGAACTATTTTACTAATCAATAAGTCAGAACAATCAGGAAACATACCAAGTACTGTGACATAAAACATCACATCCAATGCTGTGTGCATTTTGATACATATAAAGAAACTAAGCTAGATGGTTAAGAATATATTTAAGGAATTTCAAAGCCACTGCATTTTAGTCACATTCACTATTGGTGGGAATGAAAACTTACAAAATCATTCTGGAAAGGCAATTGCTACCAAAATATAAAACAACTCAATAAAGATGCTAAGGAAGTCAGAGTTAAAAGGTCAGGGTCATTTAGCAACTCTTTGCAACAGCTTATAATTTATGTAAATAGTAAAATCCCCCATCAAATTTTTCAAAATCAAGGTTCTGATTGGTACAAGGAAAAAAATAAAATGTTTCTCTTATAAACTGGAATGAAAAGAGTTTAAGGGAGGGTAAGATAGTCGATTCCTGATAGTGTTTGAGAAAAATTCTTTATAAATTCTCCTTTAGAATCTACTCAAAGATTTATATACTAAATGTAAAGTACTGACCTCAAGAGATCACGGTAAGCTTAGGCCCACATACTGGAGGAATTCGTTTTTTAAAAACATAATGTTTACCTAGTAATAAACGGGCAACAGAATCTAAAATTGTTCTTAAATATTTCTTTCCACAATTTACAATTCATTTTTCCTTTTTTTTTTTTTTGAGACGGAGTCTCGCTCTGCCGCCCAGGCTGGAATGCAGTGGCCGCATCTCAGCTCACTACAAGTTCCGTCTCCCGGGTTTACGCCATTCTCCTGCCTCAGCCTCCCGAGTAGCTGGGACTACAGGCGCTCGCCACGTCACTCGGCTAGTTTTTGGTATTTTTAGTAGAAACGGGGTTTCACCGTGTTAGCCAGGATGGTCTCGATCTCCTGACCTCATGATCCGCCCGTCTCAGCCTCCCAAAGTGCTGGGATTACAGGCTTGAGCCACCGCGCCCGGCCCATTTTTCTTTACAAAGGCATATTGTTTTGCCCAGAAAGGGGGTCACCTTATTTTGTCTTCTATTTTAATCACATAAATGATAGAATACTTACAGAGGTGGTTATAGACAAGGGTCAACAACTATGCCCCTGGGGCCATATACCTGATTTTATACTGCCCACAAGGTAAGTTTCTACAATTTCAAATGTTGGCGGGGGAAGCAAGAGATAAACAGTATTTCTTGACACATGAAAATTATACAAAATTCAAATTCTGGTGCCCATAAATAACATGTTATTGGAAGAGACACACCCATCCATTTATATATTATCTATAACTGCTTTTGTGCCACAATGGCAGAATTGAAGAGTGCTAAAAGAGACAATATGGTTGCAAAGTCTAAAATATTTACTATCTGGCCCACTACAGAAAATATTCGCTGAGCTCTACTATAATTGATTTAGAGAAAGTCAGAGACTTCAAATAGTTACATAAATATAAGCAAAAAGTTGATTTACTGTTATCATAAGAATACCATTCAATGACTTTAAAATAATCCTCTATAGGCCGGGCGCGGTGGCTCAAGCCTGTAATCCCAGCACTTTGGGAGGCCGAGACGGGCGGATCACAAGGTCAGGAGATCAAGACCATCCTGGCTAACACGGTGAAACCCTGTCTCTACTAAAAAAATACAAAAAACTAGCCAGGCGAGGTGGCGGGTGCCTGTAGTTCCACCTACTCGGGAGGCTGAGGCAGAAGAAT